GGCGCGGAGCGGGGCTCGGAGCCGCGGCCGCCGCCGTCTCGCATCGCCGCCGGGGCCGCCTCGCCTCGCCGCGCCCCGCCTCGCCTCGCCGCGCCGCGCCTCGCTTCGCCTCGCCTGGCCTCGCCCCGCCTCGTTCTGCCTCGTCCCGCCTCGTCCCGCCTCGCTTCCCCTCGCCGGCCGGGCCGGGCCTCGCAGGCGGCTTGCAGCGACGGGCGCCGGAGCTCACTCGGCTGCCATCATGGCCGCGGCGGCCGCAGCTTCCGACGGGAGACACCAGGCAGCTCGCGCCCGGGAGGGAGCCGCGGCCGGCCCGCACGCCTGCGCCTGCGCCTTGCGCCGCCCTGCGCCGGGACACGGACCCCCCGCCCCCCGGAGGCGGAGGCCCGTCCCCCTCGGCCCCGCCCCCTCGCCCGCGCGCGCCTGCGCCCGGCGCCGCCGGGCGACACGCCACACCCCCCCGTCTCCGACTCAGCCCCCGGGGCCCCGCCCCGACCTCCGCTCCCGCGCCCGTGCGCCTGCGCCCTGCATGGAACTCCGCCCCCGCGTCCCGGTACCACCCCCAGGGTCGGCTGCCCGGACCGAGGCTCCGCCCTCAAGCGCCTGCGCCCTGCTCCGCCCTGAGCGGCCGGCGCCCCGCCCCCGCGCCAGGGCCCCGCCCCCGCGCGCCGAGCCGGCCCGGCAGAGCCTGTGGCCGCGCGGCAGGCAGCGAGCGCGGCGCGGAGTCCCGCCCTTCCCCCCCCTCGCCACCCCCCCCGCGCACGGCGACGTCGACATCACGTCGTATCCCACCGCCGCGCACAAAGAGTCCCGCCACATCACCGCCTGCCGCGGGAAAAAAGAGGGGGAGAGAGAGCGAGAGACAGAGAACCGGAGACACGAGGGGAGGGCGGCGAACTAATGCCGAAGAGAGCTGGAGCTGGGAGAATATGGGGGAGGGGGAGCTCATATGGAGGAAGGGAGAAAGACGTAATGGGGGAGGAGAGAAAGAAGCGATGGGGAGGGGGAAGACTAGTTGTGAAAGGGGAAGGAGATCTGGTGGGGAAGGGGAGAGAGAGAAGTGATGGGAAAGGCGTGGGGGAGGGGAGAGAAGTGAAAGGTGCCCAGGGGAAGGGGTGGGGGCTGGGCGGGTCTGGTGCTGTCAGGTGCCGGCCGGCCTCGCCGACCGTGCTCCTGCGCATGCCCAGCGTCCAGAGCCGGCTCGGCTGCTGCCAGGCGTAGGGGCTCTGGTTGCTGCGGCTGCAGCCGGCCTGGGCAAGGGTGAAGCCCCCGGCCCGGGAGAGGGGAGGGACCTGGTCCGTTTGGGACCCCTCCTTCGGCGCCCTGCTTATTTCCGGAGTGCGTTGCTCCCATCTGAACCATCCCGTGGAGTGACACTTGGCGTGGGGGGGCTGGTGCTGTCCTCTCTGACGGGGAGGCCCCTCCCCCAAATCCCCGGAGGTCTGTCCGGGTTCCTTTTATACCTTTCTTCAAAATGGGCAGAAGTGAAGTGGAGAGAGACGCCACTGACGCCCTCCTCCCCCACGTTTAGCCCCGGCTGTCTGTCCCCTTTCTCTTTTCTCCTTTCTTTACTCTTCCCACGTGGCCTAGGAATTGGGGGGGAGATATACTAGTCCAACCCCTCCGCTCCAGGGCTGGGGGTGCCTTCTGAGCTTGCCCCCTCTTTCCCTCCACGCACTTCCCCCCAGCCAGCTGGAGGACCGGGGCCCAGGAAGGACCTGCCCAGAAATCCCACCCCCACCCCCCCCCAGCGCGGGCCTGGCTGGGATACGCTGCCGCCGAGGTGTCAGTCTTCTGGAGAACAGCCCCCCATTGTGTCTCCGGTCTGCGCCCCCTCCCGTGTAAGCAAGCTCTTCCTGCTGGGTGCCCCCCCCACTCTAGCAGAGTACAGCCTCCTGCCACGGCTCCAGTTCGCCTTCCTTCCCCCGGTGCCCCCCGATAAAGGTGCTGTTCCCTATAAATAAGCTTCCCTGGGCAGATAAAGCTCTCCCCTATGAAGATCTACCGGGTGCCCCCCATAAAGAGCTGTTCCCTCCCGGTGCCCCCAGACAAAGGAGCTGGCCCTTACAAATAAGCTTCTCCCTGGTTGTCCCCAATAAACCACCCCACCTATGATAATGAAACCCCCCCATTCTCCCCAAGGCTGCGCGAGCTGAACCCCGTCCTCCATTTCTGCTCTCATTGGGAGGAAGGTCTGCGGCAGTAGGTTAGAGATTGCCCCTGCCTCCCTGTCCACGCTAGGTCCTCCGGATCGCATCCAGTCTCCGCCTCCTTAGGCGGCTGGGAAAACCCGGTCCGGATCAAGGTGGGGATTCGCGCCAGTGCTAGGGGCCGACTGGCTACAGTGCGCATGTTCTGCAGGAGGGCGGGCCTGTCCGGGTGGGCGGACTCCGGACCTCCGAGGGGGCGGGGGGAGGTGGAGGAATACGCTAGTCTAGCCGAACTACTTTCGGGGCAGTGTCACGTGGGGGGCGGATGTCCCGGCTCCCCCTCCCCCTGCTTGAGGGCGGCGTTCAGGGCCGCTCACTTAAGGCCGGGGCATTGGCTGAGCTGAAGGACGTCACGCCCGCCCCTTCCTCACCGGGACGAGGCGGGGTGGGGGTGAGGGTGGAGGTGGATGCTACGAAAGGGGCAGTTCGTTAACGTAGGCCAGCGGAGGCAGGGAGAATGAGAGGAAGAGGCCGTTTTGTCCAGTCCGCAGCCCCGCATACAGGAGGGGTTTAATAAATGCTCCTCAGTGGCTCCTTCCTTCGAGGTGGAGGACAGACAGGCTAGACCTGCAGCACTGATCCAGCCCTTATTACAGATGAGGAAACTGAGGCCCACAGAGGTTGGGACTCGCCCAGGGCACGCGGCGGAGCCTGGACTCCAGTCTGGGTCCCAGATCCAGCTGTCTGCCCTCCCCCGGGCCGCCCCCCAGGCGCACTGAGCCCCGCGCCCTTGCCCGGGCGGGGGCCGGCCCCCCGCGGTCCCCCCCCCCCCCCCCCCGGCCCCCGAGAGCGGGGCCGAGGCAGGCCGGATCGATGCCCCGCGATGGGACATTGGTGCCCCCCTCGTGGGGGGCGGGGGGGAGTGAGATGGTAGCTTTGTGCTGGCTGGTTCTCCCGAAGCCGGGATGGCCCTCTGCACCCCCGCGGGAGGTGTGCACACCCACCCCACCCCACCCCATCGTTAAGTGCTGGTGACTGGTGCCCCAGGTCCACTTAACCAGTGAACGTCAATTAGCTTTTTCCTCGGGGATACTTGGCAATAACCGAAATACAAATACCCCAGGCTTCAGGGGCCGCTCTCCTCTGTCCCGGGGAGGGTGGACTCAAACTTCGAGTAGTGCCTACCTAACATTGATGCCAAGTTCATGCCCAGCTAACTGACCGGTTGTCGTCCTCTCTACTACGGGCAGTGAGTCCCTAGGCCACTTCTGGAAGTCACTCGAGGAGCGGTAATGCTCTTCTCCCTATTCCTGAAACAAAACCCACTCGGAGGCAGGCAAAGAAAGTCTGCATGTATCCAGAGAAGAGCTTGGTGGCCTGGGCCAAGGATGAGGGGGCCCCAGGCCTCTCTGGCAGGATTGCCTCTCACCAGATGCCATCAGCAAAGCAGTCCAGAGGATCCCCAGAAGCAGAGCAAGGAGAAAATGGCCCAAGAGCCCCAACTGAGGCACACTCTGGCCTTTGTGAAGATGCCCCTAGTCCTGGCTATGGGACCAATCCAAAAAAACCGAAAACATCAGGATCAATTGCCTAATATCTATAGGCATGGCCCCTGGTCTATGCAAAGCATTTCATGTCACCATAACTCTCCTAGAAGTAGAAGCCCTCTGTACGGAAACACTGAGACACCCTACATCAGAGCCAGACCTAAGTTACATCTGTAAAGCACTGCAGACCTGAACAAAATATTAATAAGCAAAAAAATTAAACTTTTATTTTGTGCCAACAACCATAATAATGATTGTTGTCAGGCATGTCTGACTCTTCATGACCCCATTTGAGGTTTTTCTTGGTAAAGATACTGGAATGGTTTGCTATTTCCTTCTCCAGCTCATCTTACGGATGGGGAAACTGAGGCATTTGTGACTTGCCCAGGGTCACACAGCTAGTTAAGCGTTGAGAACAAATTTGAACTCAGGTCTTCCTGACTCCAGGCCTGGTTTGCTCTGTCTACTTCAACACCTCGCTGCCCCAATAATAATAATAGCTAACATTTTTATAGCACTTAATATGTGCAAAGCTCTGGGGTAACAAAAACAAAACAAGATAGTCCCTGCTCTCAAGGGGCTTGTATTCTGCAAAGAGAAGGCCACACATATTGGGGATCAGAGGTCTGAGAAGGGTACTTTGGTCTAGGAAATCCATCCCCAAGATAATAAGTGGAGTCATTCGTTTAAGAATCATAAAAACATCCATTGTTATGCCTTGTTCTGTTGCTACAGTCCACCCCCTCCCCCAGCTGCCCCCAAATAAAACAAATTATTCAATCCAGCTTAGAAATCATAAAATAATCCTAAGAACCCACATTTCCAAGGTGTTTTCTTCAAGATGACCCTGAAGGTTGGGGAGTGCAGGTTTTCCTATTTTTGTAAAATGAGAGGGCCTGTCTAACTCTTAATCATTATTATGCCCACGTTACAGATGAGGGAACAAAAGTCAAAAGAATTAAGTAACTTGGCCCAAGGTCACACAGTCAAGTGACAGCCAAGCAGAATTTGAACCCACAACTTCTGCCTCCATGTGCAGTGCCCTTTCCGGCATACCCCACTAGAATGGTCTTTTCTTCTGAGAAAAGAGAGAGGGTCTCCCAAGATGAGCAAAGTGGCAGGTAGGGCTGCATCGCCTTGAAGAGGGGAGGGGAAGCAGAAGTCAGATTGTGAGTAGTGGCCAGGCAGGTTTTGAAGTCGTCTGACTCCTCTAAATGATTCCAGAAAGCAACTAGTGAAGATCTATGCTCTGCATCCACACCACAGGACAGGAGGCAGCATCCTAAAGAAGCCCCCAGAAACCCAGGATATCAGCCCTGGCTCTGGGACAACTTCTGGCCTGCTCGTTAACCCAGGGATCCTCCTATTCCGGCCACTGCTCTTCTGGGCCCTGATCTTGTTCCCTGGTTCTCTGTCACTGCCCTGCCCAGCACAGCTGTACATATCACTTACTGAGACTTTTAAAAATCAAAATCCAACCTACTTTAAAAATTTTTAAATAGGGCAGCTAGGTGGCACAGTGGATAGAGCACCGGCCCTGATGTCAGGAGACCCTGAGTTCAAATGAGGCCTCAGACCAAACACTTGACACTTACTAGCTGTGTGACCCTGGGCAAGTCACTTAACCCCAACTGCAAAAGAAAAAAAAAAATTTAAATGTTTTACTAGAAATTTAATAATGAACATCAATACAAACAACAAGACTTGTTTAGTGATATTTACTTGAACTTAATTTCATTGCACAAAGTATCCTAAGGCTCTTCAGTCACTCTCCCTCTGAGCTCTGATCATTTCTACTTCTGCCCACGTTCCTAGCTGATGCATCTTCTGTCCTCCTAAATGAGCTTCTTGTGATTTCTAAAGGTCCTTCAGATTTCTAAGTAGGGTTAGAATTTGTCAGACTTCACTGCCTTTTACCATCACATTGTACTAATGGAGCAAGAGGTATAGAACTGTTCTACTCTTTTTTCTTTTTTTTAATCTTTGTGTGTGTGTGTGTGTTTGTGGCAGTCGAGGATAAGTGACTTGCCCAGGGTCACACAGCTACTAAATGTGAGGTGCCTGAGGCCAGATTTGAACTCAGGTCCTCCTGACTCAAGGACTGGTGTGAACCATTCTACTC